GAGGAGGAGCTGCTCCAGCGCAGCAACAGGTGAAAGGAGGAGCTGCTCCAGCGCAGCAACAGCTGAAAGGAGGAGCTGCTCCAGCGCAGCAACAGGTGAAAGGAGGAGCTGCTCCAGCACAGCAACAGCTGAAAGCAGGAGCTGCTCCAGCGCAGCAACAGGTGAAAGGAGGAGCTGCTCCTGCACAGCAACAGCTGAAAGGAGGAGCTGCTCCAGCGCAGCAACAGGTGAAAGGAGGAGCTGCTCCTGCACAGCAACAGCTGAAAGGCTGGTGTGGGTCACAATGGATAAGAGAAGCAAAGTGCAGACCATTTACCACACATTGAGATTAAAGTTATTTTTTATTCACTACTGATTATCTCGAGAAAGAGAACCAGTCATGACTAGTGAAACTGTTATAAAATGTAAAATATTAACATACTATACCTCATATTCTGATTCTAAAGTTATTTTATTCGCTTTCAGTTTTTTTTCTAATTCAGGATCAACCTATAGAAAAGAAAAAAGACATACATTATTTAATTCTTTTACATTCATTTTTCACTTTAAATTTTTTTTTCATTTTTTTACTTTCAAAAGTCATAGGAGTGACTTTAATCCCAGCACTGAGGAGGAAGAAAAAGGGGGATCTCTGTGAGTTTGAGGCCAGCCTGGTCTACATGGTGAGTCCTAAGCCAGACAGGGACATAGCGAAACCCTGTCTCAAACAAACAAAGTCATAGGAAAGATGGCTGGGACAGTTCAGCCAATTTAAAGCATACGTCAAAATCTCTACTGTCCACTGTGGTAACTAGAACACAACTCTAGCTAACATCCACTGATTTATACACCTGTGCGCCAGGCATTTGACATACACCATCTAGTTTAACGCTCACAAAACCTGTAAGACGAGCATAAATTTCTTCTTCATTATTACATGTAAGGGAAGCAGGCACAGGAGCTTGGATAACTCGTGAAAGAAACATGTCGAGCACTGGCCTTCTGCCTCCAGGGGCAGCATTATTCACCAGCCATGTAAATTTTGAAGCATGGAAATATTTAAAATGCTATTATATAATATACTTGAAAAACAAAAGAGCCCCCTCCACAGACTGAATAAAGAGTAAGCTATGGGATATTTAGGGTTCCACAGTGGCCCACTGGAGCTCATACCTGCTACCTACATGTCACAAAGGAAGGTGGGACTGGTGAAATAAAGTCAATGGACTATTTGAGTATGCATGACTTAACAGAGCCTATGAATAAAGTGATGAGTCAGGATAATCCCATGATCCCATTAGAATGATGCATAGAGACAAATGAGACAAATCAAAAAGGGTATATTATGACAAGCAGATCGAAAAATCCCAACACATGTGTGCCTGGGGTTCCAGAAGCCTATCAGTGCTATTGGTCACATTCCATTTCTGCCTTATCAGCAAACACTATCCCATTGTCTAACATTTCCATAAGCTACCATCTTGTGCTTCTATTTTCTATATAAAGTAAATTTAATGGTGTCCATTTAATGTCAAACTAATTTGCAAAACAAGAAAAAATAAAATAAAATCAACTTAAAATGCAATTAAATTTTCAGTGTAGGGTTCAACAGAGAAAATCCCACTATAGTAAGAGGGTTTCCTACGAGCTGAGAATTGGAGTTGAAACCCATTTTCTCCCTTGGCTACACTTACCAAGCCTGGAACAAGTACAGAATCACAATCAAGGGTTAGTTAGTTGGTGTCACAGCCAGGTATCACATGTTGCTTTCATATATGAAAAATTGTGGAAAAAATAAGGACAGAAAGTAAAACGATTATTGGAAATGTGTATTGAAAAAGGGAAGAGGGAGAAGGGGGATAAGAAAGGGTACTGGAGGAGCCAACATTATCAAAGCATATTGCATACATGAATGGAAATGCCAAGATGAAGCTTACTACTCTGTACAGTATACATGTTAATTTAAAAACAAGAGGAACCAAGGCTGGACACCAGGCAGATGCTGCTACTGGAGGTTAGAAAAATAACCACACAGGGCTATAGTAACAAAAGCAGAAAGCAAATGACATGTGGCAGACATCTATGTCCTTGAAAGAAATTACTATGTTCTAGACTCCATAGACAAGAGTTCACAGCTAAGCTGAAAATCTCTGAACACCAGACTGAGTTTCCTGGAGTCCTGACTGAAAGCCAGGTGGGGTCAGGTCTTAAGAATAAGGAAGAAGCAGAGATGCGCTAAGGCTAAGTCCAACTCCAAACAAGCCAGGACCTGGCTCACACCCAAGTTTAAGGGGACTGCACTCCACTCTACCCACCTAGATTAAAAAAAAAAGGACAAATTGTTTCTGAAGGAAAGCAATGCCATCTAGAACATCTACGGTTACTTAAAAACAATAATCAATATCTAACTGAAAATAATTGTAAGGCATATTCAAAGACATAATCAATCATACAGTCAAAACTGAAGAAAAGGGCTGGAGAGATGGTTCAGTGGTTAAGAGCACCGACTGCTCTTCCAAAGGTCCTGAGTTCAATTTCCAGCAACCACACGGTGGCTCACAATCACCTGTAATGAGATCTGGTGCCCTCTTCTGGCCTGCAGGGACACATGCAGGCAGAATACTGTATACATAATAAATAAATAAATCTAAAAAAAAAAAAAAACTGAAGAGAAAATAAGATAATTATATCCTTATAGGAGATGGGCCTTTTAAATAATTATAATTCATGAAGTGTTTAGAAAAAGGGGATAAAATATGACATTATGGAAAATTTCTCTAGAGTATTGACAGACATAATAAAGAATTAAATAAACAGTTCAGAAGTGAAAATATGTACCAAATCGTAAAGTTAAGGGACAGGTCTAGTAAAAAAAAAAAAAAAATCAATGAAACCAAAGACAGAGTTAGTGATTAGAAGATAAGACAGTAGAATCCAGGAGTGGGTATAGATACAAAAAGAGTTAGGCATAGATGCAGCTCATACAGGCCATGAACTTACACATAGTTTAACAGTACCCTCAAAAGCTCTTAACAGCCACATGCAGTTAACTATAGTTTAACGTAATATGCAGCTCTTACAACCCTTGAACTTAGGCATAGTAATAGTATACTCTATGGATCTTAAAGTTCCAGGTAGAAAGCAGAAAGAAAACTGAGGTGGGAGGCATTTTATAAAACATCAACCTTTTTGTTTTATGTTTCTCCCCCCCCCCACCGCCCACCACTGCATTTTTTCCCTTAAAATCTTCAAAGAATCCAAATGACAATTAGAAACTCCATCCCCCCCCCCACATTAGAGTACCTAAGAGTTAAGGAAAACATGTCTTGCTTCCATGATTCTGTTTCCCTCTCTCCCTCTCCCTCTCTCTCACTGTGCTGCAGGTCAAGCCTGGGGCTTGCTGCGTGTTAGGCAAGTGCTCTACCACTGAGTTCCACCCCTAGCTGGAGCTATCACTGTGTATAACAGAGTAGAAAGCATGACCCCTGCGAAGACTGAACTGGATCAACTGTGTTCCTGCTGGACAACACAGCTGCTACCAGAACTTCCCCTTTTTTTCACCTCTAGGCTATATTTGGTTGCACCTTTGGAATTAGAAAAATGGAATTTTTGTGAGTTTTGTAGATCAGTCCAAGTATAATAAGTTAGTGTGGTATGCACAAGCTAATTAAATATTTACTGTTTGAGGTTAAGAATTGGTGTTTGAAGATGAACCAATTTAGGGTTGATTTGTAAGTACTTGCTTGTCTCATCCTAGACATGTGAAATTCAGTCTTCTTATGTGTCCCCATCCCTGTATCCAATATACCCAATTGCAATTTCTTTTTGCATATTGTGCAGTATGCTGTTTAACTAGGGTAGGGGTTATTTAACTCCCTAATCCAGCTGTCTGTGTCCTTTTCATCTGTCATTAATGTAACAGAATTATTTAGCTTTCTTTTCCAGTGATATCTGGATCATATAGGAACTGCTATTATGATTATCCTACCTTAAAAATAGGGTCACAGTATTTACATTAAATATTAAGCTAGTACTATCTTGTAACAAAGCACGATCGGCAAGTCAGACTGCCTTACTCACAAGTGTGTGTATTTAAAATGCACACTTAGTCATATTACTTGGTGTAATGCAGCAATGGAGGGTCCATTACCAAAGTGAACAATGTTTGTATTGGCATATGATGATACATTATATATTACTTAGAAAAATCTTCAAATATCAGGTATATGTTCCTTCTCCCCAAATTATAACACATTTCTCAATTAATGAACCATAGTTCTTATGTAACATATGGCATAAATTTGACAGTGGATGTGTAATTACAGAGGATGAGAATCTTAGTTCTGTTCTGGAATGACCACAATGACTGTGTGCAAGATAGTATACCACACCTGTAAAACAGAGGACCCACTATAATCCTACCACAATGCATACACTATAAAAGATAACTATCTTCATTTATAATAAAAATATTTTATTTTACTTTATTTTAGTATCAGTAACTAATGAGAAATGACAATACATTTATAACATCCCTGGCATTAAAATAAAATAGTGAATTTATAATTAGAGAAATAAAATGAAATAAGAATTGTTGATCCATGTTCTTTAGTTCCTTATGAATCCTAAAAACAACTACATCTGAGAATATCTGGGGGGAGAAACAATAATATTACAAATTCCCTAGTGAATACAAAGAACTGTTAACAAATGCTTTATGTGATTCACTTTCATGGCTCATTAGTGATATTTTAAACAAGAGAGGGTGCAAAGATCATCTATTAGGTTTTCAAGACAAGACAGATTAATATTGCTAAATGAACTGAGCACATAATTCTTCTAAACCAAAAAACATACACTTGGACACAAGTCAAAAACCAATTATAATTCTTACCTTAATTGTCACAGCATCATATCGGATTTGTGAAAATTCCCGAAGACCAAAGGAACCTCCAACAACCAACAACTGAAACCAAGAAAAAGGACAGCTATAGGAAAAAGGAGGATGGCCTCAGACTAGCTCATTCAGTTAAACAGAGTCTAGGACAGACTATAAAAAAACCTAGAGTACTTCTCCAGGAAATTATTGCTCATCACTTAAAAGTAGATGTGGTGGGGTTACCTTCAAAGGCATTCGAGGGACACCTGGACAAATATTGAACCCTAAATACACTATGTATTTTCCTATACATATATACCTATTATTAAAGCTTAATTTTCAAAACGGGAACAATAAGATTAACACAATAACTAATAATAAAGTACAACAGTGACAATATATTGTAATAAATGCCATTTAAAGCTTATGAATTATTTATATCTGGAACTTCCCATGTTTTTATTTTTCTTTTCTTTTCTTTTTCATGACAACTGAGACACAGTAAATGAAACCTCAGCAAGGAAGGCTACTATACTATCCTGGAAAAATTCTAATAGATCATTACTGATGGCTATAAATCATCACACATGTGTCTGACTTTTCTGGTTTGCTGGTTTTTGAGACATGGTGTGGTCTCAAACTGAATAAGAATGGTCCCCATACGCTCATATATTTGAATGCTTAGCCATCAGAGAGTGGCACTACTTAGAAGGATTAGGAGGTGCGGTCTTGATGGAGAAAGTGTGTCACTGGGGGTGGTCTTCAAGGCGTCAGAAGCCCAAGCTCTCTTTTCCTGCTGCCTGCAGATCTGGGTGTAGGACTCTAGGCTATTTCTCCAGGACCATGTCTGCCTGCATGCCACTGTGCTCCTCACCATGATGACAATGGACTAAACCTCTGAAACTGTAAGCCAGCCACAATTAAATGTTTTCCTTTATAAGAGGTGCTGTGGTCATGGTGTCTCTTCACAGCAATAGAACACCAACTAAGACACAGGGTCTTATTTGCCAAAATGGGGTTGAACTTGCTATGTACCTGAGGGTCACCTTGAACTTCTGATCCTCTTGTTTCCAAATTCAAGAGGAAATAAAAGCACACCCAACTAAGTGATAGGCTACTGCAAAGTATTAAGTTTGGAGTGAAACTGTCTCTGTACCTAAATTCCTTTACAGAATTTATATAACCTTAGAAGGTGAACAAACAGAAAACTTGACTGGTCAACTAATTGATCAGACCAAGTCAAAAAAACTGCAAATGTCTCACTCTAGCCGATTAACTTATTTTTGTAGTTTCTTTGACTATAAAAGAAAGAACTCAGCAGGACAGAACTCTGAACCTCTTCAGGTTCTGAGTGCAAGTGAGACTTGATTCATGAGCCTTTTTTAAAAAATACTTTTTATTTATATTACACATACCAACCACAGTTCCCCCTCCCATCCCTCCTCTTCCCCCTGAGTAGCCACCCCCCATCCCTCCTCCAAAAGGATAAGGCCTCCCATGGGGAGTCAACAAAGCCTGGTACATTCAGTTGGGGCAGGACCAAGCCCCTCCCCCCGGCATCAAGGCTGAGCAAGGCATCCCACCACAGGGAATGGTCTCCAAAAAGCCAGCTCATGCACCAGGGATAGATCCTCATTCCACTGCTAGGAGCCCCTCAAACAGACCAAGCTATACAACTGCCTTCCACATGCAGAGGGCCTAGTTTGGTCCCATGCAGGCTCCACAGCTGTCAAGTCCAGAGATCGTGAGTTCCCATGAGCTTGGTTCAGTTGTCTCATAAGCTTTCTTTGCTTATGCAAAATCAGTAAAATTGTTTGCCTAAATTTTTTCCTTTTACGATTTATTTATCATTTGTGTATGTATGAATGCATATGTGTACATGTGTCTATGTATGGGCAGGTACATGTGGGTACCTGTGGAGGTCAGAAGTGGGCATCAGATACCCTAGAGTTGGAGTTTCAGGCAATCATGAGCAGCCTGGTATGGGTGCTGGGAAAGCTCTGGTCCTCTGAAAGAGCAGCAAGGGCTCTTAATTGGGACCCACCTCTCTCACCCCTCAAGTTTTTCTTTTCTTTTTTTTTTAGGGATTTATTTATTCGTTCACTTATTATGTATACAGAGTTCTGCCTGCAGGCCAGAAGAGGGCACCAGATCTCACTGTAGACGGTTGTGAGCCACCATGTGATTGCTGGGAATTGAATTCAGGACCTTTGAGGAGCAGCCAATGCTGCTCAAGTTTTTCTTTTAATACTATTAACTACATAGGGTAAACCTAGGAATAAAATGCTGGCTTTGTCTGTGGAGAATTTATTTCAACTTTATGATTTTTGCAAAGTTGAACATTTGGAAAACATTGCCTTTTATTTTCTTATCGAGTGATAAAGGAGTCTTGCAGTGTGCGCCACATTTCTCACTGCAGAAACCCTTAAGAGAGATTTCAAACTGTCACTGCTATTTTACCAGAAACTGAACCGGCTATAATTCTCAGGCCAGAGAAGCAAAAGCTTAGCCATTTGGGGGAAAAGGCTTGACCCCTATATCACTGATTAAATAATAAAATATAAAAAGTATAAATACATGAGATATAAATTTAAAATCTGAGGTTGAGAAAAGCAACAAAACATCACAGTTATAACTTTAAAACGTCTCACCAAAAAATGGAAAAAAAAAAATCCTAAAACTCAAAAGACAACAAATGGGGAGAGCATCTGTGATAGGTGTTCAAACGCTGGGGGAGGGGTGGGAGTGTAAAAAGAAAAACAAAACAAATGAAAAAACAGCATTAGCTTTACAGTCTCCATGTTAACTAGATCAGTACCTCAGTTAGAGGGACTGTCCCAACCGGATGCTTTCTCCTCTCCAAGCATGCTCTCTCCCACTGTCTCCTCTTTCGAAGTCTAGAGAGCCACTCCTAAGGTTCTAGGGCTCTTTCTCTTCTTAACTCCCATGATTTTGAGATAAACAGCAGCCATAATAAAAAGCTTATGTTTAACAATTATGCATATAAAATATTCTTATCTACTTTTAAGAAAAGAATGCTATTTTGGATTACATAAGACCATTACTAAACAGACTCATCAGGCTGTCTTTATACATATACATACAACATGTAACAACAATAAGGAAGTCATGAATTTGAGATGGAGGAGAGGATCACAGGAGAAGTTGGAGGGGGAAGGGAGGGGTAGAAATGATGTTAATACAGTGCTCATCTATGAAATTCTCAAAACACACATAATTTTTAAATAAAAATAATGCTATTTCACATACACACGCTAGAAGAGTGTGTGTGTGTGTGTGTGTGTGTGTGTGTGTGTGTGTGTGTGTGGTGTCTGTGTGTAACAAACAGAAAGGAATGGCCGGTTAAACACCTATCAGGTAAAAGATGATAACGAATACTTCATCTGAAGAAGTTGCTTTTGTTACATGGCTGGAGGCTTCCTTAATTTGCCAGGGCACACTTGACTATGGTGTGATAAAACAGAAAAGAAAGTCTCAGAACTCAAAGGAGGTTCTGTCAGATTGGGTGGGCATAGAAAGTGCTCTTTGTTTTACTAGTGGAAGGGCAGCTGACTAGAAAACAAATTAGGTTTAAAAGTTTTGTCTAAATAGCTCCAGAGTGTGTCTTCCTAACACTTGATTTGACCATTTAAAAATTGACTGTGAAGGCATCTCCTTGCTGATTAACTCTGAAAATAGAGCAGGAAACTAAGTCTACACAGAAAGCCTCACCCTTAGGGGGTTTTGTTTGGTTTGGTTTCGTTTGTTGTCTTTCACGAAGTTCTTGACTTTTATGTTTTTGAAAAGGAAGAAAATCATATTGGTTCCCATAGTGACAGATGTGTGATTGCAAGTCAGTGGCTAAAATCAGTGCTTCTGAACAGCAGAGGAACTTCCAGAAAACAAATTTTACACATGCCTTGTATACAAGAATTGTTGTCATTTTATAAAAACTAATGCTAATTCTGAAACTCTTAAAGCAGACTGCAGAGTTTCCTAAAGATGAAAATAAAATCAAAACACACCAAAGATGACTAAAAAACCTACTACATTTCTGAAGTCTCCTTTAGTACTGCTCAAATACAAAGGCTGGAACTTCACCTGTACCAATTGCCGTACCAAAGTAATGAAACTATTTTTTTTAAACTTTGTATTTATTTTCTTTGATATGATATCGGAGGGTGCTAAAGCAAATTAACTTGTCAATGATAAAACAACAAATGGACATAATTATTGGAGCGCCAGCTCTGATTGGTCTTCTGCCAACCTCAACCTTTAACCCCAGGAAAGGTTACTGTAAAACGGGAATAGTGACAACACGCACGTTCATGAAGGGAAAGGGGGCGGGGGGGGACGCGGGGTACACTTCTGAGTGTGGACTGGGGAAAATCTAACAGCTCACACCTCTAGCAGTCCCTTCCTAGCACAGGCCCCTGCCACAGGAATCCTGCAGACAGCACACACGCCAGGCAGAGGTGGCCCCGCCCCTCCCGGAGGCCCCGCCCCGCTCGGGCTGCAGCCACTCACCAACATGGGGACTCCGTAGCGAAGGGTCTTGTTCTTGCGCAGAGCGCGCAACACGGCGGGCGCAACCATGGCTGAAGCTGCAGTCGGCTTAGCCCCTTCGGAGCGGCCCCAGCGCGACCGCCTAGAACCCGGCGGCCTCGGCCGTCTCCCAAGCGAAGTTGTGGACTCAGCACTGGCTTCGGGTGCCGGGTTCTCGCCTCGTAGGCCTCCGCCAGTCCAAAGTAATCGATTCGTCCTAACACACTCCCGCTCCCCCCCTCTCCCCGGAAGTCAGAGGCCGCTGAGCTTTGGTTCCGGGATGCTGCAGACGCCGGGGACAATTGCATTTTAGATTTGGAAAACCTGTAATTCACATATTTTGGATCTTGACTAGTGTCTTCTGGCTTGACAAATAAATTCAGCTAAAGGGCAGGGGTGTTATTTTGAAACTAATGCACAAGTAGCGTGGGTAATTCACCAGGTTAATGAAGACTTCTTAAATCGTGGCTCATCAGTTATAACCGAACCTTTATGTTAGTACTATTAATGTGCGATTGCCTATAGTTAATGAATTCCTGTTTTCCATTGGCTAAGCAACTTTACGACCTGCTTGTGTGCTGGATGGCTCAAAGAACATGGAGATGAAAAAGGAACAGGCCATCTAATGGGAACAGCAACTAAGGTAGAAAGTACAGTAACTTGGCAGAACACCCACTCTGCCATTTTGCAGGCTGAGGCAGAGAAAACCTTTCCATCTGCCTCTGGCTCTGATGCTGAAATGCTTCTGGTGTCGACTCCCAAGCTGTCCCACAGGAGAAGCTCCTTCCTTTTTAGGCTAACAACTATGTCAGAAAGAAAGGGGCTAACGGGGGGGGGGGGGGGGAGGGGAGTGATGGTTAATCTTCCATAGCACTGGGAGATAGGTTAATACATAATAAGATTCTCTTGGCTGTGCCTCCATGGTTCACTACATTTTTTTTTTTTTTAAACAAGCTTTAAAACCCTTTGTTAGAAGACTTCGGTCTGGTGATGTTTTTTGGTGGTGGTGATGTGGTTTGGTTTTGTTGTTGTTGTTGTTTTGCTGCTGTTCGTTCCATACTCCATCCTGGAAGACTTCAGTTGAGTGATGAGATGACCACTATCCTCAGCTTCAACAGAAACTGGAGGAGGGTCTTGCCTGCTGCTCAGGACAGTTGGAATGGAAGATTATCCCCCACAACACAGAGTATTGAATCGAAATCATTTGATGTCTAATGGATTCTCTTTGCTGACATGTATCTCACTCCTCTTGAGTCCTATTTAAGCCAAGTCTGTCTGACACACTGTGGAGGCCTTGTTGGACAAAATCAAAGTGGTGCTGTATTTAAATTCTCATGTTGAGCCAGCTGCAGACCGTGGCAGGGAAATAAAGATTTGGGGAAACGAACATTTCGTTCACTAATTTGATGTGACCAAATGTTTGTAAAATGCCAGGAGATCTGGTAACATCTGAAGATATAAAGATAAATAATTTAAAAAATACCAAACATTTTTTAAAAGATACTAACAAGTGGGACAAAAGTCTAGGTTTGACAAATACTTTTGCATTGGGATTTGCCCTTCTTGAAATGCTCTTCTGAAGATCCCACCCTCAATGCTGTGTAAAAGCTTAATCTGCTCAACCAGAAGATGAGAGGCCACATGGAGAATAACCAAGGCACTCCAGTCAACAGTCAGCACTGCCAGGCATAGAAGAAAAACCATCTTGGACCACCCATCTCTGTGCAGTAGTACTCATCTAGGTGCAGTTATGTTCAGCCAGTGGTGACTACAGCCAATGTTAGCAGCAGAAGAAATAATCACTAGACAGAATTTTCACTTTTCAAAGAATTACTGACCCATTGTTGCAGTAAGCCACTCATTTTTTTGCAATGGTTCAGTATGTAACTGATAACCGACATACCTTGTCTTTCACAAGTCATCCTATATACTACAGACCACCAAATGAGCTATGTCTAAACTCTATGACATCAACGATCAACAATATAAACTGCCTTTATAAAAAAATCAAACTCAGCTCTATACAAACTCATGGGATAAAGCTTAATTTTCACATCTATTAAGTCCTTATTAAACTATGGCAAAAACCCGTTTCTGCCTCCCATCTTAGGTTTGAGTAATAGAAGAGGTTGAGTAAATGTTGGCAATTGCTCTCAAACACTGAATTTAAAGACAGAATGGTGCTGCTACTTTGCCTAGAAAGCATTTACCTTAGTACACTTAAGTTCATATTATGGCCCACAATGGAAAAATGTAACAGCATGATTGGATCAAATTAAATATGTGCTTTCATTTTTTGAAGTAGTTCAAGACTACAGGAGTCCTTACTGGTTTTAAGTAAACTGCTAGATCTGGTAACTAAACAGCTACACAACTGGAACAAGTTATCTTCTTTAAACATCAAGTTATTTTATCTATAAAGATGGGACTATTTGTACTGCCTTGTAGTTTTGAGAATCTGATGTTGAGAATGGGCAGCAAAAGATAGCATCTAGCACCTGGAAAGTAGTGTTCAGCCATATAATGTTCTGAAGCCAGACTGCCTGCCTTTAAATCCTAGCTGACATTTAGTAACTGTTAAGTTACTTGGCAGGAAACTAGGCAAGTTTCTTAACCTCTTTATGCCTTGCTCATCTCATCATAAAATGGACATAACAACAGGACTTCGGATAATACCTACAACACTGGTGAGCACCTCTATTAGCAGTACTGAGTCCTGATGTTTACCTGTTCTGCCAAAAGTAAGCTTCAAATTTAGGTTTCTTTCTCTTCCCATTGTCCCATCAGCATTGCTGGTTTAAAGTGACAGAAAACTAAGGAAATAGTTATTAATATTTTCCAAAAGAAAAAAAATCCAAGACTGTAGATATTCAAACAAGTTCAACAGGTCTTTATTGAATGTCATAGTTCAACGGGCAAATCTGGATGCACTGGTATCAAACAGTGAGGTTGAAATCAGCATCAACACTGGCTTTGTGGTGATACTTCTTAGTTAATGTGGTTTTATGTCTACTTGTTTACCAAGTAGCTCTTAGGCATCTAACCTGTGAAACAGCTGCTGTTTACATTCAGGGATGCAAGGGGGACATAAGAATCAGAGCAGAAAGGAAACAACATACAGCATTTAAGGAAGATAATTTTCCAGGAACTAAATGGCCTGGAAGGTATACAAGTATTCAGTAATAACAAATTCATTCAAATTAGTATTGGAGACACAGAAGTAAAACAAAAACAGGATTTAATCTGTGTCTTCATTTGCAAACCTACCAACTATGAAAAGGACCATCCCATTTTCCTGTGACTAGTCAATATATTTACACAGCTCTTTGGTAAATCAATCTGCTGATTAATAACAAAATAGCATTTGAAAACCTACATCAGTCCTCTTCCCTTCCCTTTCTCCTCTGTTAAAATAGAATATAACAATGAGGGAAGTTATAGTTACAGGTATTAGTGTTTACTGGAGCTAAATTCCTTATACCAATAGAGCACTCTTCTGTCGATTTCTATAATATCAAGTACATCAGGTAAACAGGCACGTGCTTTGTATTCTATATATAGATACCAACACAAGAGTCAATGGCAGTTCACAATCTGGTTCCCATTGGGCAGAATTCTTTAAAATACTGTCTCTCCCCCACACCCCTTAATCATAATTGCAGTGTAGGCTGTGAGAACTAATCTCAAAAAAAAGATTTGCAGTTAAAAAGAATAGCAAAAAAAGGCTTAGCCTGGTTTAACAGCCAACCCTTAAACTACTGTGAGAGGTAGAGAGCTTAAGAACTCAAAATGTGTACTTCTCAGTGATGTTGGAAAGATACATTAACATCAAGGTCACCCACTCTCAGATGCTGGGCTATCTCAATTTAGTGACTAAATTTTATCTTTATATTGCTATACTGGTGTTGATGGTTATCTGCTAGATGGAGAAAAAAATCTTTATCAAATATACTTTCCACTAAAAGTGGGTAGAATAAAATCTTTATTGAAACACACACACACACACACACACACACACACACACACAGAGCTGACCTCCACTCACAGGGATCTGCCTGCCTCTGCCTCTACCTCCTAAATGCTGGGATTGAAGACATGTACCACCATGCTTGGCCTCTAAATGCATTTTAATTGCTTATTTGCACAATAAAAAATACCACAAACAGCCTATATCTAATTTTAAACTACTGAAATTAAAACAACACGTGATTGGGCTTATCAGATTGTTCAATGTGATCTCCCATTCAAATCTTGATACCTACAATCCTCTTTAGCTGTCTATCAGTTCTTCTGGTCTTTATTGAAAGCCCATTGGGAAAAGATGGAAGTAAAATGAGATTTTAAAATACAGTTTTTGTATGTATTCTTGTAGTGGTGACATTCAAAACAAATTTGAGACAAAAACAACACCACTAACTTTTCTCACTTCTAATACAAATTTTATCCAAGAGTCTATTAGAGTCACAATCCTATGATTTGGTTCTTATATGGCTACACATGTTACCAGAGGTTGATCAGTCTGTCCTGAGCACACAGGAGGAAAACAATGTTCCACTTCTTACTCTACCTCTCAGAGAGCTGGGCTCTGAACTTAGCCAAGTTCTTGATTCTGGCTAGAGCCTCATCTGCAAGTGATCTGATAATTTAATGCCATGGAACATTTCCAATAGAGGCTGCACATTTTAGATACCTCGTGAAACATATTTTATTGTCCAAGTCCTAGTCCCAAAGGTCCTTATTTAATGTGGGTTGACCAGCTAGCTGTCCAAGTGATTCTAACTAGACAGGGGTGAATCTCAAACTTCAGCATTAGTCAGTTACCTAAAAGGACAGAATTGCTGGTTGCCATGCTTGTCTCACTCCGTAAGTATGGGATGATGCCCAAAAATTTGCAGGGAAAACTGATGCTTTTGTCCAGAGACCTTGCTTTGAGAACTGTTAGCAATGGGAATATTACTAATACTGTCACCCAAAGTCCTGAGTTTAAATCATGATTCTATATTACCACCTATACAATCTTGGAAAACAATTTATTCTCTCATTCTCAGTCTCTTTATAACAATACTTGGATCTCAAGGTTATATATAGTGTCACCAGTCAATTTAGTACAGCCCTGGCATAGACTGTAATTACAAATACTATTTTTATCTGTTGCCTGTGACTAGATGGTCCAATTAATTACATGAAATCATTCATACAGAAAACTGCAGGAAACAGAAACAGAAACGACTGAAGCAAATAATATCTATTAGAATTACATATAAAAACACATTGATAAATACAAGAAAAATACTTTAAGTATACCTATAATCAATATTCAAAACTTTAAACATTATAATTTATGTGGTAGAAGCATCATATATAGTCTATAAGGTAATAGGAATATCAGAGTCAGTCTATGATAAACATAAATTTTTTACAATCTATAATGGATTCTTAACATCCCATCTATGCTAATTTTAGTTTACATACAACCAAAAGTGAAATACTAAAGTATTTGCCTAAATCTTAAATGTTTTGGTCAAGTGCTGTTTATTTCCCAAAGAGACCCAAGTGTATCAGAATTCCTATCAACCGAAGTAAAATTCCCACCAAAGATGTTTTGTATTTACATATATCAACACAACAGCTTTCTATCCTCCTTGCCATTTGTTTCAATTTGTAAGTGTGACCGTCTTTCAACAATAAATTCCAAGCCCTGAAGTGAATACTAGAGGTAAATAGGCCCATGGCAGAAGCCGCTTTAGATGCCATCGAACACAAGGAGGGTACAGACACTGGACCTCCACAGTGGTGCTGGTTGCAGCAAGAACTACAATATGTTTTTGCATTTTCTGTGGGACTTAGAATAACTCCTATTACTAAATCAATTTCAAAAAGTACTGAATGGCTTAGTTATGTGAAGACTGTTAAAAGCAAATCTCTCCCTGTATCAACAGTTTACCCAGAGGCAAAGTCTCATCAGACTTTTTAAGACTTTCCATTCTACTCTGATGCCACCACACAACAGTTTTCCTTTTCTGAATTCCTTAAAATAGCTGTTGATCATCTGTCAACAGTGTCAACCACACTGTGCTCTATCTTGCATGGTAACATTTCTTTCCATACTGGTTTCATTTATTATTCGACCTGATAGACTTTTTTCACCTATTTATGAATGCTCCTACTAGATGATTAGCACCTAAAGATCTTTAACCTGTCCCTTCCTCTATGGAACGCTCAATTCGCAGGAGCTATTTTCTATTGTTGTCTACAACATAAACAACTTACACTTACATGGCTAATTCCATTTTAACTGTTCTCTTCCTAACTGTAATCACAATGTCCTTTCAGATGAAGTCTGTGCATTTATTTCCCTTCTTTGTACAGGTGTCTTGACAAAACTAATGTGCAACCAACACTTGTTAAGTAATTGCTAGATTGTCAGGAAAACTCATAATCTTCTGTCAAAATAACAGTCTGGCCAATATATTTAGAAGATAAAAATTATTTTGTTAAAAAAAACTAGGCTTGGTTCAACTATCCTCGGCACTCTAAAACCAACTCAGACACTACATGAACAGGATGGCTCCCACCTCACCAATATCCCTGCTGTTCCCTGGCATCTAGTCATCCACACTCTAGTCTCAGGCTTTCCTTGGAAACAATCAACAAATTTCCTTGACCCCTCTATCAAACAAACAAACCTTATTCTTTCCCCTTCTCTGAAAAATGGTCCATTAAGTTATTAAAATCAAAGCTAGTGTTTAGAGGTTTTTGGTTTTTTTTGGGGCGGGGGGTAGGGGGTGGGTAAACAAAACCAAAAACCACATCAATTCAGGCCTTCTTATCTTAATCAGAAGCAGGCTGGTTTTAGGTCTATTCTACCAGAAAGGCAGTTCCTAAGGTTTTGCCTGATACTAGAAACTGAAAACTGTGAAGCAGCCTTGAGGGTTCAAGTGCCACCTTGAGGCATGATCTTTTTTTCAGTCGTCTATCAAGACAACTTTTGGCCCTTCTGGTTCATTGGGCCCTACTACTGCCCACATCTATCCCACTTGACCCTTTAACAGCACTGCTAAATACCAACTAGGCTGGTTCAGAGATTGGTAGAACTTGTCTTTATACCTCCAAGTCTTTGAACAGATTGACTTGAGCAGAGCTGTTCTAGTACAATTCACCACATCACCATAGCTACCGTGTGACACTTGTTCTACAGTTTCCAATCCATTGTTTCTGTTATTATTTCCCTAATGATTGAGCTTTCTCTTTTAAAGATCATTTTCCCATCTCCACTATACACGCTCTGCAAAGAGCTCCTGACGTGCTTCATTGACAGTCATCCCTTAGCACTGTGTATGTTTGTAATTTGTGGACAATGACTTACAGACAAGTGTGCAAGGAGGTTCTCTTTACAATCCAGAACTCACTGTTAATATGAGTCTTGATTATATATGAAGGAATATGATGACCCCCTAGTCCCAAAAAATTGTTCATTAGAAACCCAGGAACTAGTATGGTTTTCTCACCTCTTATAAGGCATCAGTGTTATGTTATCATATATGCATATGTGTACTACTGTATATATTTATTTTTTGAAGTAAGTTTAAAAAAAAAAAACTTCATTCGCCTGTGTCCAATATAGGCATCTAGGTATAGAGTTACAAATTAAAGGCCACAAACACTTCACAAGGAAAAGCATTAAAAGGAAAAGAAAAAAAGTAAAGATCAGCTCCTCCTTCCATGTAGCACAGCTAGCCTTCAAACATGCCAGCTAAGAAAAAGGTGTCATCCATGGTGACAGGAAGACTGAGCTTTTCCTCTTTGGGTGATAGCTGAATTTTTATTGGCAGTTCTAGTAAAATATGTAACTTCTCATTTGTTCTTAGCAAGGCTTCTCCCTCCCCCCCACAAGCTTTTCTTCAAATAATACCTTTACTCTCCCATTAGAATTTGAAGTCTTGGCGAGTTTGAACAGCAAGGTTTTGAGTGGTAATCAGTCACTTTAAATCATGTGTTGGCTATGTAGAGGATAAAGGATATAGGAGACTGGCAGGGAAGGTGAGTGAGAGAAATAGTTCATTGGACACACTGGAAGACCGCAAGCATTTCAAAGCTGTTTTCGGTATCTCACAAAGGCCCAAACTGCAACCATGGTGAGGGCAAACACTGGTAGCAGCACCATGGCTACAGGAATCCCACTTGGTTCTCCTTCACCTCGATGTACTATAGGTCCATTCTGCACTGGTAACCTATGCTGTACTCTCAGGGACACAGCATATCCCGCATTACGAAAGAGGTCTACAGCATCCTGGTGTAGCAGGTTCTTTAAGTCTCGGCCATTTACCGAGAGGATCTTATCACCCTCCTGGAGCCGCCCATCCCGGGCCGCAGCCCCATCCTCTTTGATGCGGCTGACGTAGATGCCACTGTCGTTGGA